AGACGTAGAGAGGGTACACCTATGCAGCATATTGCAAACTCCTTCAACGCCAGCACGGAATCATCTGCTTCTTTTGTCTTTCCACATCACAGTGCCAGGTTCTCCTAGGACATTCCAAGATTATCCCCTCCAGCAAAAATTTGATTAGACTTATGGTGAATGAGGTGATTATTGGCCATGGCCCCTAGAAGTGAGTGCCATTTTCCCCTGGGAAGTAAACAATAGCTTAACCTAGTCTGCCAGGGAGCCCAGCTGCCACTTGCAGTCTGCTTTCTTTCTTCCTTTCTCCCTTGGCATTTGACAATTACCTGACCCAGTCCACACAAAGAAGAGGCATGGAATAGTGGGAAAAGCTTTGGCTCTGGAGAGGGCTTGGGTTCAAATCCCTTCTCATATACCTAGTATCTGGATGACCCTGGACAAAATCATTTAATTTCTCCAGACCTGTTTCCTCATCTATAAAATGAGCAGGTTGGACTAGCTGTCTTCTGTGCAGGCTCCAAACCAGCTCTGGTTCTGTGGTCCTACCTAGTATCTCGTCAGCAGACCAGAGGAGATGCCAAGCAGTAGAAATGTCTCTATTAGCATTGTAGGCAATGAGCTAACACCTAAGGAGGCCCTAGAAGGAGTCAGCTGGGGTCTTGAGGGCTAGGAAAGAGACAGTGCTTTCATGGTGGTCTGGACCTATAGCTGCCTCCCCCTGAATATCTGTGTTTCAATCCAACAAACACTAAATGAAGGTTGCTATGGACAAAGCACTAAGTTAGGTGTTAAAGATACACAAATGAGAAACACAAAAGCCCTTGCCTTCAAGAAGGTTAAAATCTTGATACAGGTTGAAAAAGAGGTCAAACATACTTTGGGAAAGACACTAACAGGTTAGAGCACGCTTAGAGGAGGATGCCTACATCATGTAAAGAATGAATTTCACCTAATGTACTTTTTTTGTCATGCCCACCTTACTCTTCTCCAGAGTCCTATATCTCTGCATACTGGATATTGCTATCTGTTATTAAATTCACAAAGAACCCAATTCTTCCTTGTGAAGATGACATAAGGCAGGAGAAGGAAAAAAGGATTAACATCAATAATAAGAGTGACTAAAGCTGTCTTTATGTGGCCAAATATAAGAATTATATCCTTCCCATAAAAGCATGTTTGGTCCCATTAATTGGTACTGACACATGTCCTCTGCCATGGGCATTCTCTGAGATAAACATTAACGGTAGCTGGCATTTATATAGCACTTTGAGGTTTCATTTGACCCTCACAAACCCTGTGAGGTTGGTACTAGAGCTATTTATATCCATTTTACAGATGATCTGCTAATGCCAGAGGTAAGATTTGAACCCAGGTTATCTCCTGACTCAGGAATCCAGTGTCACCATGTCATTTCAGAAATGTCAGTACAGGTGTAGCAAAGGTCACAACCAGTACTCTCCACTGGGGTTCTATATGCTACCACCTCCAGACTGCTTTACAATGAAGGTGGGAACACCGCAGACACATTCAAGGATATGTCTCTCAATGTGTTGAATGAACAATGGAGTTGACTTGGATTTTTTGGTATCCCCTCTCACATTCTTGTCCCTGTTCTCCCAGAGATCCTTCAGAGAGGTGCTAGAATCCTTCCTTCAGCTGCAAAAAACTCAGTTCAAAGCCTGGATCTGCCATTTATTGCCCACATGACTTTGGGTAAGGCCTTGATCTTTCTGGGCCATTGTCAGAGTCTATTGATTCTGTGTTTATGAAATCACCCATAACCAACCTCTCCTTTCCCCTCTCCTAGGCAGATAAGTAGCACATTATTTAGAGTGCTAGATCTGGAGGCTGGGCCACTGCCAGTTGTCTTGACTTATGTCATGCCACTGGATTCAGATGACTCTGGAGGAGAGTGTGAGGCTGATGACTTTGCTCAGCTCTGCCTCACTTAATCCAACCCAATACAAGTCAAGACATCACCCTCATGATGCATTGGTCCTCTTTGAGAACAAAGGACAAACAACAAACAACTGTAACAGGTCTGGAGACAGGAGGACCTGAGATCAAATCCAACCTCAGGCCCCTACTGTGTGACCCAGGGCAAGTCACTTAACCTCTGTTTGCCTCGGATTCCTCAACTGTAAAATGAGTATAATACCTCACAGGGTTGTAAGGATAACACGAGACACTGTAAAGTGCTTAGCATAGTGCCTGCCATATAGCAAGTGCTTAATAAATACTTGCTTCCTTCCTTTCTTTCCAATGCTACTGCGGTCCTGATTCATCGCAGGGACTAAACATTCTAATAGTCTTAAACCTGATTTCCCTGTACCCCGTCTCCCTTTCTAATCTATCTTTCATACTTCTTGAATTTTTCTGTAGATCCATAATGTCATCAATATTGGATGCCTTCCCTCCTTTGATGCACATTATCTTCTCATCCAGTGTGATTCTTCTCCCTGTTCTCCCAGAGATCCTTTAGAGAGATCTACCTAATGTGCTGGAATCCTTCCTCTAAATCTGTGCTTTCTACAGCTGCAAGAACCTCAGTTCAAATCCCAGCTATGCCATTTTCTTCCACGTGACTTTGGGCAAGGCCTTGACCTTTCTGGACCTCGGGTTCCTTATTGGACTAGATGCTCCTCTAAGATCCCTTCAAGCTCCAAATCTATGATCCTATATCTGCTTCCCCTGGGTTGGATCTCTGTTCCCACCATTCTTTTTTTTTTTTAATTTCACCAGATTGAGTACATTGTTAACAATACTGTTCGAAGCCATAATCTGACCATTCATACAGAGAGAAACTCTTCTAATGCTGTGCAGCTGGAAGACTGTATTTCAGAAATAGGATAGTATGTTCCTTTAGAGCCCTAGGGGGTATTCTTAGTGCTCCAAACTTCCCATTAAACCGTAGGTACCTCATTCCAAAGTGACATCCCAGTGGCACTGCTGGGATAAAAGTCAAACCAAGAGCAGCAGCAAAACCAGTTTTTATTTGGCTTTTATTTGCCCTGTGATAATTAGATATTTGCCTTGGGATTTGTTTTCTAAGCCTTAGATCTGACGCAGATTCTCCTCCCTGTAAAAATCTCATCACCTACGGTGCTTACACATTTTTCTTCCAATTCTGCCCTTCAGAGGCGACCTTTCTGGTTCACCAAGCACAAACACTCAGAGCAGAACTATCAGGACGCAAGATAAGCCACTCTGGGATGATGGATGAGCAGGGCACAAAAGCACCCTGGAACAGAAGGAAGTCAGCTACAGAAACATGTGTTCTGCCACGTCTAGAGTGATACAAGACATCTCATAGTGACAGTCTCTCTGTAGGAAGGAAAAGAGGAGCTTTTGGCCCCATTAGGCTCATGTATTCATGGCAACATGGGTCGGTGGAAAGATTTTGATTTGGAGTCAGAGAGGCCTGCACTTAAATCCCAGATCTGATACCTACTTTAAAGTCATGTAAACCTAGGCAAGTCATTTGATTTCAGTCTCAGTTTCTTCATCTTTAAAATAGTAATAATGCTTTCTATGCTAAACCAACAGTGTTATTGTGGGGAAACTTTAAAGCACCAGAGAAATGTGAGGCATTAGCAAGACATACTCTGTGGTTCAGCTATATTATCTGTAAAATGGGAATGATGATACTCAGTTGTCAGAATTCAGGGAATCAGGCAGTAATAATAATAATAACAACAGTTAGCATTTATGTAACACTTTTAAGGTTTGCAACATGCTTTGAATATGTTATCTTATTCGATCAGGAAAAAAAAAACAGGCTTAGACTAGAAGACACAATAGGGTGGGACAGGTGGTCCAAGCAAAGCTGAGAAAGCAACTTCAAAGAGATCAAAAAGACAAAGAAGTCTAGAGCCTACTAGTGGGCAAAAGGTACCAGGCAGCTGGTATCGGGGAGGTCTAACAGCAGATATGTGGGGTCCCACAAAGAAGACCAAAAGTTTAGCAACAGAGATCCAGCCCCCTGAGAAAATTCAGTGGGACGCAAGGTCAGTTCCAACATGAGAATCAGAAGATTGGGATACTGAAGAGCTAACATGAGTAAAGGACAAAAAGCTGTAGCCACTGTTTATGAGAGAAGCTTGCCTCCCTCTACAATACTTGCTGCTGCTAAAGTGGATAGGGATAGGAGCAAGTGATTACAAGCAATCACTGATTCAAACAGGATGAGTTAAAAGACCCCATTATTGGAAAGTTAAGCAGTATGATAAAGTAGAAAGAACACTGTAGTTACAAGTCAGGATACTTGACTTGAAGGTCTTGCACTACCATTTAATAGTTGCATGACCTTAAGCAAGTCACTTCTCTCTGAGCTGCAAACTCTTCCTCTACAAAATGAAGACAGTAATCCTTTACCTATGAAGCAGCTAGATGGTGTGATGCAAAGAGCACTGGGCTTGAGCCAGGAAGATCTAAGTTCAAATCTAGCCTTAGACACTTACTGGCTTTGGGACCCTGAGCAAGTCACTTAACCCCTATTTGCCTCAGTTCCTCATCTGTAAACTAGGGACACACTAAAGAAGGAAATGGCCAACCAGTCCAGTATCTTTGCCAAGGAAACTTCATGGACAAAAAGTCCATGGAGTCACATGGAGTTGGACCCAACTGAATGACTGAACAACAACAATCCCTTACCTATCTTACAGGATTTATGTGAGGAAATGATATGTCCTAAGAAAGGACAAGCCTGAAGAAAGAAGCTACCTGGTCCCCAGCTGGAGGTACTTCAGGGGTGGGGAATCTGTGGCCTTGAGGCCTTGTGGCCCTCTAAGTCCTCAAGTGCAGCCCTTTGACTTAATCCAAAATTCAAGGAACAAATCCTTTATGGACACAGGTTCCCCACCCCTGTACTAGATGAATGCAGGGGCAAGGGATCAGGTTGAGGGTGAAAAGGGAACCATAGCACTCTAAATCCACCAGAAGTGGTATTTTTAAAAGTCATTCTTCTTTAGTGTCATTCCAAGTATCATTCTTCTGAAAGATCTCTATTGTCTCCCTAGGTCCAACGCAGCGAACAGTCAGCTCAGCGTATGGAATACTGCCAACCTGAGCCACTGCAATCGCCGGAAATACACCTACAGTGATGAAGGGCAAAGCCACCTGAAGGTGCACCCCCATCAGGGGATCTCCCTCCCTATAGTGAGGAGAGAGATTCCCACTTCCTTCACCACCAATGGGAAACCAGACTCCCTAAATACTGCTAGGAACTCAGTGACCCAGGAGCTCACTGAGCTGGAGAAGCAGATTCAGGTGATTAGGCAAGACCTAAGGCTGGCCATGAACAGGAAGAACCAACTGGAAGAATATCAGAGGACAAACAGGACAGTCGAGTCCTAAGTGATCCAATCTCTATCTGTTCTGTCCTGACCTTCCTGTCCTTCCCCCAAGCCACTTTCAACCTTTCTCTAACCCCTCTGTAAAATTTGTAATGCACTTTTGTAACTGCTGGCAGTGGTGAAGGAGAACAAAACAATAGGTTCTCCTTAGAAGGCAACCTCAAAGTGACTCATCAATTCCCATCCTCCAGGGTGGTATTCTCATTCAGAGAAAGAATCTTTCCTCCATGTGAACTTTGAATCAGTCAAGGGCAATCTTGGACAAAGGAACAAACCAGACCATACCCATCTCCTGTTTCCTTCTTCACCTGGTGCCACATTTCTGGTTTTTAGCCCTTTCTGCGCATTAAAAAAAATGTCAGTCAGACCTGTGTCTCTTACTGGGTTTTGATGTTTTTACTAGTGCAAGCATACCTCGACTAACATGATTAATCAGGTGTAATAATGTTATAAGAGACAACCAGTTCCACGGATTCAATGTTTTCAGTGATCAATTGGCCTGAAAATGGTACATCAGGGTTTCATGATGTGATGATGTGGTTACTTCATGTTAATGTTATTGCAAAAGTACTGTGGGACAGTGCAATGTTACACGAGGTATGATTGTATAGAATGGTGACCCAGGACTACTATTTTAATAACATTTCTTCAATTTAACCCAACTCAAATTTGGGGGTGGTTTTTTTCATTTTGGGGGTAGGGTAAGTGTAAAAAGGGCAGTGAAGAAAAGATGACCTGAACCCTCAAAAAGCTAATTGGGTTTCAGCACAGCAACGAGGTTAATTCTGTTAAGACTCTATTAGAGCCAATCTTGCTGAAAAAAAAAATGGCATCATATTCTTGAGTCAAACTAAGCTTTCTTTATAAGTGTGTGCCTTTTGTGAGACAAAAAGAATGAGAGAAAAGAAAACAGAGATGAGGCCTCTCTGATGAACATCTGTGTTTACTATTTGTAATAGGATGTGTGTGACTGTGAATCCTGTGAAAATGTTTGTGCAAACCATGTGATGGGTTAATTCTCAAATTAGCAACAACCTGTCCTCGGACTGTAGGAAGCCCCAAAAGTGATCCTCATGCATGCAACTGAACCTGCTCCATCCCATGCTTGAACTTTCAGGCATCTACCCTTCCTTTTTTGTGTAATTACTGTGATATTTGCCAAATGCCCCGGTCACCAAAGGCATACTGAAATGACTCTCGGTTCTTCCAGTTGGTACCTCTAACATATTTATCACCTCCACGAAGTTGGATCTGAGTTATCTAGTTGTCTTTATTTAGCTACCTCCTAACCCCCACATAGCTCTCTGGAGAAGTGAGATTGGGATGGAGCCAGGGAAGCCAAAAGATCACGGTTGCCGAGGGCCCTGAGTGCTCTGAGTGCTCTGAAACGAAGTATTACTGCCTTTGGGAGAATATGCTTACAATATGTCACCTTCCACAACCACCAGGGCACCAAAAAATGTCACTCAGGAATAGACTCTCCTTTAAGTCAGTTACATTCTTTTTTTCCCAATACTCACCATTTGTCCATTAATCCATTCAAACTTTATTAAGCACCTATTAATTCCAGGAACTGCACTGCACTAGGTGCTGATGGATAGGTGAGTAAAATCTTCACAGTCCCTGCCTTCACAAGCTTACTTTTCGAGTGCCTCTTAAGTGACTGGCACAGTAGTTGGCTACAACCAGTCAACCTGACAAGTAGTTAGCCACCTCCATCAAGGGAATGAAAGGGCTCCTACTCCCCAACTGTCCCTCACTTTACACTGTGGCATCTGAAGTTTCTACTAAAGTCATTCTCTTAAATGGAGAACTGTTTTCTGGATGCTCCCATTAACATTCAAATACTCCTAACGAAGTAATATTTTAAACCTTGAGGGTGATAAATCACAACTGGAAAATGAGTCAATAGGAAACAAAGCAAAGGAGACACCTCAAGAAGGGGAAATGGAAAGGAAGAGGGACTAAAAACCTTTAAAGGTTTCAGCCAACCCTGCTCTCAAGACTATCCCTCACAGGGCTCTAAAGTAGGAAGCCCTGAGTTTGAAGGCACATCTCTAAAACTATCTCCCAGAATTTCCTAATTACAGCCCAGGATACTGTAGGGACCAGGTCATTACCCTCTGTGCACCTCTTATCCAAAAGGTTTATGTACTGGTGTACCTCACTTCACACAGTAGCCAGGTTCTGGAAAAGTTGCCTATAAATGGAAATTTTTGTAAATCTAATTACATTCTAACTGCATTTGGGTGGCTAACTACTTAGAGGAACCCAGCAGTCTTTTGTAAAGTGAAGAATCCTTTTGTAATGCAAATAATTATTCCCTAATTTATTTTTTTTCTAAGTTTGAGTTTTTTAATAATGGATTTAATTAAAGCAGGGCACACATCAATACAAAGACATTTTGAGGAATGCTTTTTTGGGTTTCTCTACCTTGTCACAAAATAGGCAGTAATTTTTGTCCCACTCAGTCACTCAATGTCTGTTCTGGACTATCGGGTGATAACTAGCTGTCACTGGAATGCCTGGGAGAGAAATGTAGCTACCTGAAGGTCAGCTGGTGGGGGCTGTCACCAGGTTTACTGTCATTGATGTTGCTTGAAATGATTTCGTTTTCTGGAAAAAAAAATTTCTTGTGATGAAATGAAACTGTTTTCATGTTAAATTGTGATGGTTATTTTTATTGCTGGTGGTTGAACAGTGTTTTGCAACTTGTGAAACAGTGTGCTGTGTTTTGTAAAAAACCTTTCATGAAATTATGAGTCCTTCAAAACAACTCTGCTCTGCCCAGCTCTATCCTTACCTGGGTTCCATGGGTTTATGCCCTACTTGGGCTCTAAGAGAAAAAGTCAGTGACCTTCAGGTTAGGGATGGTATTACATAAGAAAGAAAAGGAGTTTTCATCCCTTGGCTGAATGAGATCCTGTTTCACAAATACATGAAATTACAAGGTGGTGAATAAAGGAGGAAAAAGTGACAGAAAGTTTGAATTCTCTTATCAAGTCTCTTTGGGAGTAACATTTGACCACTCCGTATCTCTACTCCCTCAGCTACAAGGAAGGGAATGTCATTGGCCACCTAATGCCCAACTGTGTTTTGGGAAAATGTTGGGAAATTCAAGCTCACTCACTAGAAAAAGGGTTCTATGTGAGCACCACGCATAGCTGTGTTAAGTGGTACTAATGTGGCCAATGAATGTCTGGATAGCAATCACAGGGCCCAGAGCTAACATGCCACACAGCATAAAAAAGAAAACGTACCCCATAGGCACAGCAAATGATAAATACACCAGATGTGCAAGACAACTCTTAAAAGCATTTCTAGGGTAGTCAAGTGATATGACTACAGCAATCTAGCATGGGACTCCACTGGGTTCCTTTGATGTGTTTAGAGAACAGCGATTCTGGTGATTCTATAAAAGGTCATCCTCCTTGTTACGATGAAGTTTTGCAGCTGCCCTTCCAAATAGGGATACTGGAGGGACTGAATAAAAGTGAAAGGAAATTTCAAAGAGAATAGTCCCAGGTCATCTGGCTTTAGACTCATTAGGGCTAAAATTCAACCCTAAATTTAACCTTTGAGAAAACTCCTCTAAAAATCTAAGAAACCAAGAAAGAGTAGAAAGGTCTACTTTACAAAGTCAAGATTGGCAAGTCAGAAATCCATGCCCAGTTTCAAAGGGAGTATTTCTCTGGTCATTAAAACCAAATTTTTACATTTTTTGTGTGACTGCCTGACCAGTTGCTCAGTCCCTCCTTTCATCATCCACCTAAGCCATAAACCTATTTCTTCAATACTATTTACTATCATGGCTTACTGTTTTATGAAAGCAGATTTTGCTGTATTTTCCTAGGAAGGCTAAAGAGTTTTTTCCTATGTGTCTTCATTCTGAAGTATATGAAACAGACTGCTCAGCTCCAGGGAAGTATTGAAATGTTGTCCTTTGGGCATAAAGCAAACAGGATGATTTGCTCTGGGCATGTTTCGTGTACAATTGGGTGGATGGATGAAATGTCTTTAGGTCTTTTCCATCACAAATTTCTATGAATGTGGAATAAATGTTTGGATTGAAACAAAATTTTGGAATGATGCTAATAGAGTTCGTCTCTGGGTACTTGTGAAAGGTTGACATGAATGGCACTAGACTTCCCCAGCAGAAAGTATATATGCTGGCTCATAAAAAATTCAAAAGATTTAAAAAGAATATAGACTGAATCACATTTGAGGAAACCCAACACTATGTTAATACAAACATCATAGGCCAGAATTGGTCCCCTAACCTCTTCTCTCAGTCTTCTTTTCTTTCATAAAACTCTCTGCTAGCAATTTCATTCATTCCCACGCTTTCAAATTGGTCATTCCTTATCCAGTCTTGTTATGAGCATTACTGTAAGGATCAAATAGAATAAATACTTACAGAGTGCTTAGCGTAGTGCCCAGCACATAGTAAGAACTTAATAAATGTTTACCTTCCTCACTCTTACTCTGATTCACCCAGTGATATTTCTGTCTACAGAATACCTACACCTGGATGTCCTTCAGGCACTTCAAACTCAACCTAAGACTAAACTCATCATCTCTTCCCGTTCCATCTGAACCTGTCCTTCCCCTTAAATCTCCTCTCTTTTGAGATGTACCAGCAGCATCCCAGTCACCTGGGCCCAGAACCTGTTACCTTTGACTCTTACATAAATAGAAAAACATTAATTTTGAAGCAGAAGACAAGTCTGAATCCTGCCCCTATCCAGCCTGTAACACCCCAGGAGAGTGTCATCTGTTCTCTGGGCGTATTTCTTCCTCTAAAATAAAGGGTCACTCTTCTAATTCCAAAGCCCATGATCCTAAGTGGTGTGCTTCTTTACTCTTCTCTCTACCTACTTTACTCTCTACCCACATCCAATCAGTTACTAAGTCCTCTCAATTCTAGCTTGGCAGTATTTCTGGTATAGGTTCTCTTATTCCTAATCTACCACTAGGCACCCTGGTTCAGGCAAGCATTAC